TGAAAAAATTAAGAGCTACAAGGAGAGGGTAGAGCCACTAAATATGCCAAAGCTAGAAGATAAAAGAAAAGGAGGTGATATGATCACTACATACAAAGCAATAACAGGAAGCTATAAAGCTGACAAAGAAGTATTTTTGAAAACTAAACTTAAAAGATCACCATATCAACCTTCTATCTTTAATTCCAGATGACCACAGTACCAGTACTCACCTAGTTGTGATGGAGAGGCTGAGCTTTGGCTCTTTGGTCCTGCCTCTCAACTGGTTTACAGATTCCTGAACCTATTGGGCTCTATCATATCTACATTTGAAACTGTGTATGGAGTCAGCCTCCACCACATCACATACTAATGTATTCCATTTGTTAACTACTCTGACACTGAAAAAGGTCTTTCTAACATCCCTGTGGCTCATTTGGGTACTCCGTTTCCACCTGCGTCCACTTGTTTGCGTACCATCCTTGCTAAATAGTTTATCTTTATCTACAATGTCAATTCCTCTGAGAATTTTATAGGTGGAGATCATGTCTTCCCTAACTGTCTTCCAGTGTCGTGAGGGATTTGTCCCAGTAATTTTTCCTTACAGCTCATACCCCTCAGCTCGGGGACCAGCCTGGTGGCCCACCACGGAATTTTTTCTAACCTTGTTTTGTATTTGCCTAGACAGACTTCATGCTGCAGCCGTTTACTCCAGTATTGGTTTGACTTATGAGGAATACAAGGTTCTAAATGCTTCCCTACACAAGTTTCTGAAGGCAGTTTGTTTGTCAGCCATACATATGCTGCTGATATGTGTATCAGCAACTTGGTGGATATGAAATCATGTCAAGTTCTGGTTTTGGATACCAGAACAGCATGCCTCTGTTTTCCAAAATAAGCACTTAGCCAGGCTTGTCCTCCATTGTTGTTGGGAGGCACTAAAAGTTTAGTCGAGAACTGAAGTCTCTCCTGGGTTGCCTGAACTTTGTATCATGAATCTGCAGTCAACAGCCTATCACCAAATCCAGGATGGCTAGGTGCACACTAGCATTACCATGTAATGTCTTCCTGCATCATACGTTTACTCTTTTTTTCCGCTAGATTCGGCTGTGTGACAACCTCAAGCTTTTCACTCGATCTTCTCAATGCTGCTTCCAGCATAGGCTGGGGGTTTCATCTCTGGTCTTCACCAAACTGGTCAGGGGTATTGGTGTGTCGAGTTGATGCATGCTAACATGAACGTCCAGGATATAGTGGGAGTATGGATGATGAATCGTTGATTCTTCCTGCCTCAGTTCTAAAATCATGCAAAAACTGTACATGATGAGTGAACCATTCTGGAACTTCTTGTTAATTTCAATATAACAAATTATAAAAAATATATAAAATATTTTTTAGGTGTACACTCCTGTTAATGTTAAATAAAAAAAAATAATATTAACAGGAAATCACAAAAACCAAGGCCTCTCATATTTTAAAAGTAGTTTCTAATAGTACCAATGATCTCTTACTTGTTGCTGGACTAAATTATCTCCTGCTGTCATCTGTGCCTCTAATTCATCACGGTTCATTTTCACATCTTGCAATTCTTTCTGTTTTTTAGACAATTCACCTCCTGAAAAAGAAAGAAAAATATGTACTGTAGGCCAATTTTATAAAAAATTATTCCATAGCCCGATATAATGACCTTCGAATCATTATCTAAAAGAATTAACACTTGACTCTGGAGAACACTTTCAAATGTCTACCTCAGTATATGCTAACAAAAATAAGGTCGACCAAATATGAGAAGCCCTAATTTAACAGTCAAGAGACAATGACATTCTGGAGAGAACATGCCTCTCTTCAATTGTCCCTGTCAAGTCATATTGATGAAAAGCTCAATCCAGCCAAGTGTGACTTGGAAATTCACTCATAGCCTTTACACACACTACTTGGCATCACAAAGACAAACAAGTAGCACTCTTACAAACCACCAGTTGGATGACCTGGCATTTACCTCCAGCTGCCACAAGACACCAGCTTCTACGTGACCAGCTGCTCTCATGGCTCAAGTTCAATTCATTCCGAATGAGAGATAAAACTTTGCACACAAACAACTCGGTCTCAAGAGGAAACGGGATTATCCAAATGTCTTGCTTAGAAAGGAACTTTTCAGTCACCCAAAAGCTTGCATTATAGCAATTATAGCAGTAACTTAAATTCTTCCTAAAGCAATTGTCTGTCAGTTGTAAAAATAAAGTGACTCTTGCATTGCTGTGATGCCCAATAGTTGCAAGTGCCATGCAAATGACAACCTGTAATTTCTACCAAAGGGAACCCAGACCCCTGCCAGAGATGTAAAGGAAACTCAGAATAACAAATAGGTAAGGCAGGTGGAGACAGTTGAGGAGGAGCTGGGCAGTAAATGTAACGGTAGGCTTCGCACTAAGAGTTCTGGTGTCAAAACAAGACGAAACTGAATAGAATACATGCTGTTGGGCAAACACATGCAGGCGAGTATAAAGATGCAACCTTATCGTGACCACATTACAATGCTCTTACAAGAAATAGATCCTAGCAGCCTGTAATTTCAACCTATTTAGCTTTAACTATTTTTTCTAGTGTTTTGACTACAATGCTTGTTAATGATACAGCTCTAATTTAGAGGTTCCTCTCTACCACCATTTTTATAGACTGGTACTGTGTTTGTCTTTTTCCATGTGTGTGTGTGTGTGCACAAGATTCCTGTGCACAAGGATGTCTGAAATATCAATTTGAGTGGACTGCTCAGCTCAGTTGCACATTCTCGCAGCACCCAAGGTGAAACTCCATCAGGTTCAATCGCTTTATTTCTTTCTAGCCTCCCTTCAGTAATTTTTCAACTTCGTTATGTATTCTATAGCATGCTCTGGAATTGGTACTTGGTTCGGCTTTCTGAAATCCGCATTTTGTACACACACACACACACACACACACGCACGACTGCCACTTTCCATAGCGTATAACATATCGCTGGCAACAGGGGAACTGCCAGAAATTTGGAAAGCAGCTAACATAGTCCTGATGTACAAGAAAGGGGATAGGCAGGAGGCACTGAACTACAGGACAGTGTCCCTAACCTGCATACCATGCAAGCTGATGGAGAAGATTGTGCGAAGAAAGCTAGTGGAACATCTGGAGCGAAGGAACTTTGTAACAGCATCAACATGGGTTCAGGGATGGCAGGTCCTGCCTCACAGGGTTACTTGAATTCTACGACCAGGCAACAACAATCAGGCAAGAAAGCGAAGGGTGGGCAGACTGCATATTTTTGGATTGCCAGAAAGCCTTTGATACAGTGCCACACAAGAGGCTAGTGAAAAAGCTGGAGATGCAGGCTGGAGTGAAAGGGAAGATACTCCTATGGATAAAGGAGTACCTAAGCAACAGGAGACGAGTCAATGTGAGGGGTGAGGTCTCAGACTGGCGAGACGTTACAAGTGAAGTTCCACAGGGGTCAGTCCTTGGACCTATACTGTTTTATATATGTAAATGATCTCCCAGAGGGTATAGACTCGTTTCTCTCAATGTTTGCTGATGATGCAAAAATTATGAGGATTGAAACAGAGGATGATAGTAGGAGGCTACAAGATGACCTAGACAGACTGAATGAATGGTCCAATAAATGGCTGCTAAAGTTCAACCCGAGTAAATGCAAAGTAATGAAACCAGGCGGTGGAAACAGGAAGCCAGACACAGGATACAGAATAAGAGATGAAGCACTTAATGAAACGGACAGAGAGAAAGATCTAGGAGTTGATATCTCACCAAACCTGAAGCCCACATAAAAAGAATTACGTCTGCGGCATATGCGAGGCTGGCTAACATCAGAATAGCCTTGAGCATCCTGTCAGGAATCATTCAGAATTTTGTATACCACATATGCAAGACCAATCCTGGAGTATGCGGCCCCAGCATGGAGCCCGTACCTTGTCAAGCACAAGACGAAGCTGGAAAAAATTCAAAGATATGCCACTAGACTAGTCCCAGAACTAAGAGGCATGAGTTACGAGGAAAGGCTGCGGGAAATGCACCTTACAACACTGGAAGACGGAAGAGTAAGGGGAGACATGATCACAACCACAAGGATAAACAAGGATAAACTATTCAACACTGGTGGTATGCGAACAAGGGGACACAGGTGGAAACTGAGTACCCACATGAGCCACAGGGACGTTAGAAGGAACTTTTTCAGTGTCAGAGTAGTTAACGGATGGAATGCATTAGGCAGTGATGTGGTGGAGGCTGACTCCATACATATAAATGATACAATATCAAACAGACAGTATGGTTTTGGATCTGGAAGATCCTGTGTATCGAATTTACTCAGTTTCTATGATCGAGCCACAGAGATTTTACAGGAAAGATGGTTGGATTGACTGCATCTATCTGGACCTAAAGAAAAGGCTTTCAACAGAGTTCCACATAAGAGGTTGTTCTGGAAACTGGAAAATATTGGAGGGGTGACAGGTAAACTTCTAACATGGATGAAAAATTTTCCGACTGACAGAAAAATGAGGGCAGTAATCAGAGGCAATATATCAGACTGGAAAAACGTCACAAGAGGAGTACCACAAGGTTCAGTTCTTGCACCGGTGACGTTCATTGTCTACATAAATGATCTACCAGATGGAATACAAAATTATATGAACATGTTTGCTGATGATGCTAAGATAATAGGAAGGATAAGAAACTTAGATGATTGTCATGCCCTTCAAGAAGACCTGGACAAAATAAGTACATGGAGCACCACTTGACAAATGGAATTTAATGTTAATAAATGCCATGTTATGGAATGTGGAATAGGAGAACATAGACCCCACACAATCTATAAATTATGTGAGAAATCTTTAAAGGATTCCAATGAAGAAAAATGTAGAAATGGTTCTAGATAGAAAACTATCACCGGAGGACTACATAAAGAACATTGTGTGAGGAGCCTATACTACGCTTTCTAACTTCAGAATTGCTTTTAAATACATGGATGGGGAAATACTAAAACTGTAATACTAAAGAACTAAATCTAGAATATGCAGCGGTTGTATGGTGCCCATATCTTAAGAAGCACATCAACAAACTGGAAAAGGCACAAAGACATGCTGCCAAGTGGCTCCCAGAACTGAAGGGCAAGAACTACGAGGAGAGGTTAGAAGGTTTAAATATGCCAAAACTAGAAGACAGAAGAAAAAGGTGTGATACGATCACTACTTACAAAATAGTAACACGAATTGACAAAATGATAGGGATGATTTCCTGAGACCTGGAACTTCAAGAACAAGAGGCCATAGATTTAAACTTAGTAAACAAAGATGCCGAAGAAATATAAGAAAATTCACTTTCGCAAACAGTGGTAGACGGTTGGAACAAGTTAAGTGAGAAGGTGGTGGAGGCCAAAACCATCAGTAGTTTCAAAGTGTTATATGACAGTGCTGGGTAGACAGACACCACGAGCGTAGCTCTCATCCTGTAACTACACTTAGGTAATTACACACTTTGGAACTGTACATTTATCATTTCACGCATTTGTTCTTGTGTACAAACCTTCAGTTGTAATTAAAGGTCTAATACTGGTAGAACTTTATGATATTGATTTTGCATTTGTGAAAAAACATTTTAGATTTTTCTTTATCCCTTGTATAGCTTTCTGTTCCAATTCCTGAGACTTGTATGATCATTTCAGCATCTGCGCTATTTCTTTAATTTCTGTTCAGATTTATTTTTCTTTGTTGTGAAAGTAGTGTCTGCTTTAACATTTCAGTGATTTTTTCTTTTGTACAGTCGTCTGCGTTCTTTTTCTTGATTGGTTCCCTTTCTCACCCTCGTCCTAGCCACGTGCATAAAGCAGATCTGGTGTGCTTCAGCTGGCAGTTGGGATTTTCCCTGTGTGGGAGTTCTGTCACTGAACACTTTCGCGCCCCCTGGGATGGTTAAAAAAAAAGCGGTATATGCGCACAGCGTTTTTGCTGCGTAAGCGTAAAAACAAAAATGTGTATACTCTTTTTACTCTCCTTACCTTAGTTCTCGAGCTACGTATTTCATTTTGGTACCCACGTGTTCGCAATAAAATTCTCTAGAAGAACATCAATACAAAAGTCACGAAACGTATAAGGATACCAGCACCAAATAACTAACTACGAAGATGACTCGCTGTGAGCGCCCAACAGCAACAAAATGTTTTTACTCTTGGGATTGTTATCACCTCCACACTTGTCCTACAGCGTTAATTTTGGTATCAATGGACTCGCAATGAAATTCCCAACACGGTGATATGAATATAAGCGTAGAATAATGATTGCGGCCCGCCCGCAAGAGTGTGGGAAGTGGTGAAATTGTTACCCGGTATCGGTGACGGGACGACGCACGGCGCTTTGAAAGTTTATACTTATTTCACTCTCATGACATTAATTTTCTATGTACGTCATTCATTTTTGTGTCAATGTGTTTGCAATAGAATGGTCTATGAGCCCGTAGGTAAAAAAAATCAACAAAGCGTAAGATAGAATAGCGCCAAATATAAAACAACGCTGGAACATATCAGTGTCAAACACACACGAAATGTTTTTACTTTTGTTATGTTTGTCAAGTTTATACTTGTTGCACACAGTTATTTTTGGTTGTACATTGATTGGAATAAAATTCCCTAATCAGACATATGCATATAATACATGATATGGGGGAAGCATTACCAGTATAAACGGCTAAAGTCACCCACCTGCAACCCGTTTGGGACATAATACCATTTGATCGAAGTGGTCCATACCTTTCATGAACTTATTGTACCATGCAGCCTAGTGGTGAGAGAGAGCCTCATGGCGCGCAGTTTGAAACAAACCCAAAGTAAATCGGATAAAAATTGAATTTTATACAAATATTTTAAAAAGAGGACATAACTTTATGTCCACCATGCGGGAACGGTTAGCGAAACAGGACGCCTCGGTGAGTCCTGATCCCGCGAAAGTGTTAAGACCGTCTCCCATAAGATGTTTGCAAGGTCTATATTTTCCTGTCAATCCTATTACTGTTAAAACTGAATTAATTGACAAGATAACCTCAAGATTGAATAACCCTTTTCTGTGGCCTTAATCACAGGGAGATTGATTAGGAATCAAATTATCTTCCCATGGAAATCAGAAGTAATAGACCCTCTATAATTATCCATGGATTAAACACCTTTATCACATTTCTTCAACTTCCCAATGTATTTTCAATAACATTGCTACTCCCTCCTTGCCCAGGGTTCTTTTATGGGAGGGCAGCAACAAAAGCTTTTTGACAGTACAGATTTAATCCATCTAACCTGTCTCCTCTATTTTGGTAATTAATAGAGGTATCAGGTTTGTCAGCAAGGACTTTTGTCCCCTCTACATCCATACTGCCTGTGGCTGCATCACTAGAAGAGGTGTGTTTGTGGAGTGGGTGTGTGGATATACACACATAGTTACTCATAGTGAGGATTTAACCCCTCGGGCTAAAATTTGCTTTTTATTTCCTCATTCCCGCAACAAAAGACTGACAAGGCAAAATATCCATTAGAACTTAAGAATAGTTATGTGTAGAAGTCTTATTGGCCCATGTGAGGCAGCTTCTACTTACATCTAACCAAAATCACTTCTGTGTAACCTTCACCACAAACAATCCAGCAATTCCATGTGTTACTTGGTAATTTGTTCCATAAATAACTTACCAAACCAGAATTTACTAGTGTCTTTCCTGAATGTGAACTTATCAATGTGAATATGTATGCATTTTGTCGATATATATCTAGCACATATGTCCCCTTTGGTACACCCTTTCATACATTTGTATATACTTTAGTCAATATCAACCATTACTTTTCCCTCTTTCTAGAGAAATTAAAATATAGAGTGAAAATAATTCTAGGAAGCCGCTTTAACTCAAAACATTACTTTTAACGTTACTGTCCTTCACTACAAACTTTACTATTTAAATTTCTTGGAGTATGTCAATCTATTCAAGAGATCTTCTAAATCATCTGTTTGATTAATTTGTTTTGCATCAAGTTATTGTATGGGGATTGCCTTAGTTAATACTTTACTTTCATTGGGAAACTTGAATGCTCACAGACACTTAGTGTTGTTCACAGTTATCAGTGTTACAACCCCATGCTGCCCCCAGTGACCATAAATATTATTACAAGTCTACTGCCTGCAATTAAGTGAAAAGTGCCTCAGTTACCAGGAGGAGAATTAAGCAGACTCTGACCTTCCTGCTGTTTATGTTAACTAAGTATCTGCAACTGCCAGCAATATCATGCTAGTTTACCTGGGGAGTATAAACTAGGGAGGCTACTGAGGGGGGCCAGTCCTTCTCCCTCCCAGTAAGTCCCAGAATAAGTCTCCCAGAGACCTTCATGCCACCCTAATGTGAGTGGCAGCCCAGGGTGTGGGAACCCCTGACCTACAAGGTAATGGGAATGTGTACATTAGTAGATTTATACAAATTACTTGCCACTTACTCAACTTCTCGTTCTTTCTATTAGACGCTTCCAAATTGACTGCCAGGTCTTGCTTTTCATTCTCCATCACATTCACCTTATGCAACAGATGCCTCAATTCCTTCTTTTTGTCATTCAGTACTTTCTCCATTCGGAAAGGCGGACTCTGAAATGTATACAGAAAATAAGAAAAAACAAGCATAATTATTGTCTAACCTTTTAACATGTTTTTCCAGTTAAACAATAAAAAGGATTTTATTTTAGCATTCTAATCACACAATGTGTATCAGGAACTAAGTATGTTTAATAGCAGTCAATTGAGATGTATATCAAACCAGCTGATCATGTCCTGAAAAGTGATGCAGTAACCACAAGGACGCAGGAAAAAGAAGGCCGATGGTTGGACAGAGACGAAGAGAGACGAAAGGTGGGAAGGAGGGACAAGATAGAGGGGGAGAGAAGTAGGAGGGACGAGGGAGTGAGAAAAGGAGGAAGAAAAGGAAGTAAGGAAAAGGAAAAAGCAAGGAGGAACGAGAGGGAGACGGCAAGGAGGGGGGAAGGGAGACGGCAAGGAGGGGGGGGGAGGGAGACGGCAAGGAGGGGGGGGAGGGAGACGGCAAGGAGGGGGGGGAGGGAGACGGCAAGGAGGGGGGGGGAGGGAGACGGCAAGGAGGGGGGGGAGGGAGACGGCAAGGAAAGGGGGGGGGAGGGAGACGGCAAGGAGGGGGGGGAGGGAGACGGCAAGGAGGGGGGGGAGGGAGACGGCAAGGGGGGGGGAGGGAGACGGCAAGGGGGGGGGGAGGGAGACGGCAAGGGGGGGGAGGGAGACGGCAAGGAGGGGGGGGAGGGAGACGGCAAGGAGGGGGGGGAGGGAGACGGCAAGGGGGGGGAGGGAGAAGGCAAGGGGGGAGGGAGGGATTGAGAAGGCAAGGGGGGAGGGAGGGATTGAGAAGGCAAGGGGGGAGGGAGGGATTGAGAAGGCAAGGGGGGAGGGAGGAATTGAGAAGGCAAGGGGGGAGGGAGGGATTGAGAAGACAAGGGGGGAGGGAGGGAGAAGGTAAGGGGGGGAGGGAGGGAGGGAGAAGGTAAGGGGGGGAGGGAGGGAGGGAGAAGGTAAGGGGGGAGGGAGGGAAAGAGGGAGAAGATAAGGGGAGAGGGAGGGAGTGAGGGAGAAGGCAAGGGGAGGAGGGGGGAGGGGGGAGGGAGAAGGTAAGGGGGGAGGGAGGGAGGGGGGGAGGGAGAAGGTAAGGGGGGGAGGGGGGAGGGAGAAGGCAAGGGGGGAGGGAGGGAGGGAGAAGGCAAGGGGGGAGGGAGGGAGGGAGAAGGCGGGAGGGAGGGGAGGGAGGGAGGGAGGGAGGGAGAGGGAGGGAGGGAGAAGGCAAGAGGGAGAAGGCGGGAGGGAGGGGAGGGAGGGAGGGAGGGAGAGGGAGGGAGGGAGAAGGCAAGAGGGAGAGAAGGGAGGGAGGGAGGGAGGGAGGGAGGGAGAAGGGGGAGGGAGAGAGGGAGAAGGCGGGAGGGAGGGAGGGAGAGAGGGAGAAGGCGGGAGGGAGGGAGGGAGGGAGGGAGAAGGGGGAGGGAGAGAGGGAGAAGGGGGGAGGGAGAGAGGGAGGGAGAAGGGGGGAGGGAGGGAGGGAGAAGGGGGGAGGGAGGGAGGGAGAAGGGGGAGGGAGGGAGAAGGGGGAGGGAGAGAGGGAGAAGGGAGAGAGGGAGAAGGGGGGAGGGAGGGAGGGAGGGAGAAGGCAAGGGGGGGAGGGAGAGAGAAGGCAAGGGGGGAAGGAGGGAGGGAGAAGGCAAGGGGAGAGGGAGGGAGGGAGAAGGCAAGGGGAGAGGGAGGGAGGGAGAAGGCAAGGGGGGGAGGGAGGGAGGGAGAAGGTAAGGGAGGGAGGGAGGGAGAAGGTAAGGGAGGGAGGGAGGGAGAAGGCAAGGGGGGGGAGGGAGCGAGGGAGGGAGAAGGCAAGGGGGGAGGGAGGGAGGGAGGGAGGGAGGGAGGGAGAAGGCAAGGGGGGGAGGGAGGGAGGGAGAAGGCAAGGGGGGGAGGGAGGGGGGGAGAAGGCAAGGGGGGGAGGGAGGGAGGGAGAAGGCAAGGGGGGAGGGAGGGAGGGAGAAGGCAAGGGGGGGAGGGAGGGAGGGAGAAGGCAAGGGGGGGAGGGAGGGAGGGAGAAGGCAAGGGGGGGAGGGAGGGAGGGAGGGAGAAGGCAAGGGGGGGAGGGAGGGAGGGAGGGAGAAGGCAAGGGGAGGGAGGGAGGGAGAAGGCAAGGGGGGGGAGGGAGGGAGGGAGGGGGGGTTAGAAGGCAAGGGGGGGAGGGAGGGAGAAGGCAAGGGGAGGAGGGAGGGGTTAGAAGGCAAGGGGGGAAGGGAGGGAGGGGAGGGAGGGAGAAGGCAAGGGGGGGAGGGGGGGAGGGAGGGAGAAGGCAAGGGGGGGAGGGAGAGAGGGAGAAGGCAAGGGGGGAGGGAGGGAGAAGGCAAGGGGGGGAGGGAGGGAGAAGGCAAGGGGGGAAGGAGGGAAGGAGAAAACAAGGGGGGGAGGGAGAAAACAAGGGGGGGAAGGGAGAAAACAAGGGGGTGGGAGGGAGAAAACAAGGGGGGGGGAGGGAGAAAGGCAAGGAGGGAGGAAGGAAGAAGGGGGAACGATGGGAGGGAGGAAGCAGAGGAAGAACGATGGGAGGGAGGAAGGAAGAAGGGGGAACGATGGGAGGGAGGAAGCGAGGAGAGACAAGGGATAGATGGAGGAAGAAAGTGCTTGCCCATTACTAACTATGAGATAGCTAGGCTCTAGCTCTTTATGCCCCACATATCCTGGAGTGCTAATTACACTCTCAACATTAAAAAGAAATACGATGAAAACATTAAAGTTATGGATAGAATTTGCTTCAAGAATCTATTCCTTCAGAACATGTCACTAGCCGACCACGTGTACAGGGAACGAGACCTTTCTTACAGCTCTTTGACTATTGTGTCCAGCTTCCACTTATGTCCCTATATTCTCCCCCCTCCACCCCCATTTTTCAACGCTTTCTTTATCCACCTTATCTATTCCCTTCAAGATCTTGAATGTAGTTACTATATTCCCTGTTTCTTCTCTGTAAGATTGTGTGGGCCATGTTCTCTCAACCTGTCATCATAGCAGAGGCCTCTCAATTCTGGTACTAATCTAGTTGCAAACCTCTGAACTTCAAGATCGTGTATACTACACAAGGTGGGTATTCCATGCTACATCTGTTTATTCAACTAATGGTCTCAGAAAATGCGCATGGACTTGAAAGCCTCCTTTGTTTAGATTCATAACCGAGATTCTTAGGTTTGCTAGCCCTCCCATATGCTGCTGGTATCCTGTTCTCATGATCTAATCTTATACTTGTTGAGAGTATATCACAGGTCTTTTTCTCTTATTGTTTTTTGTATCTGCCTTAACCCTTATCCCCTTAACCATTTTCATTACTCTACACTTATTTGGATTAAATTCCAGCAGTCATTTATCTGCCGAATCCTGAAAAACATCATCTTACCTTGAGGTGCTTCCTGAGCTTAGCTTTCCCGCGGCCCGGTCGTCAACTAGGCCTCCTCATTGCTAGACTGGTCAATCAGGCTGTTGGACGTGGCTGCTCGCAGCCTGGCGTATGAATCACAGCCTGGTCGATCATGTATCCTTTGAAAGGTGCTTATCGAGTTCTCTTTTGAACACTGAGGGGTCGGCCATTAATGCCCCACATTTGTAGTGGAAGCGGGTTCAACAGTCTCGGGCCTCTAATGTTGATAGATTTCTCTCCCAGAGTACCTATTGCACCTCTGCTCTTCAACGGGGGTATTCTGCACATCCTGCCATGCCTCCTGGTCTCATGTGATTATTTCTGTGTGCAGGTTAGGGACCAGCACCTCTCCCATTTTCCACATGTAAATTATTATGTATCTCTCAAGCCTGCGCTCAAGAGAATACAGATTTAGGCTCTTTAGTCGGTCCCAATAGTTTAGATGTTTTACCGAGTGGATTCTAGCAATAAAGGATCTCTGCATACTCTCCAGGTCAGCAATTTCTCCAGCTTTGAAAGGGGCTCTCATTGTGCAGCAGTACTCCACTCTAGAGAGCACTAGCATCTTTAAGAGTATAACATTGGTACAGCATCTCTAGTGTGAAAGGTTCTTGTTATCCAACCTGTCATTTTTCTTGCAGATGTGACGGCTACATTATTGTGTTCTTTAAAGGTAAGGTCTTCTGACATGAGTATACCCAAATCCTTTACATTGCTTTTTCGTTCTATGTTATGATCTGACCGAGTTTTGTACGTGGTTTCCGTTTTTATATCTATTTTTTCCATAGCGCATGAGCTGGAACTTACCTTCGTTAAACACCATATTATTTTCTGTAGCCCATAGAAAGACCCGATTTACATCTGATTAGAGGTTTGCCGTATCCTCTACGTTGTCTACTCTGATAAAAATCCTAGTGTCATCTGCAAAGGATGATACAGTACTGTAGATTGTGGCCGTGTCGATGTCCGATATGGGGATGAGAAAAAGTACTGGAGCAAGCACAGTACCCTGAGGGACTGAGCTCTTCACAGTTGATGGACCGGATTTTATTTTGTTGACTATTACACATTGGGTTCTGTTAGTCAGGAAATTGAGAGAGGGTGTGACAAGTTGTTCCACGATTCGTTTTCTTCGCCTATAGAGGGAACGACGTTCCAATTCCAATCTGCATCTCTTCCTCTTTTTCTTAGGGGGGGTATGCTGTTTGAGCATATTTTTAGTGCTACTGCACTTATTTTTTCCAGGCACTGGTTCAGGTTTGCATTTCCTAGTTGTTCTTCCCAGCTTATTTCTGTGAAGTCTTGGTTTATTTGCACCCAGTTTATCTGTTTATTATTGAAGTTGAATTTGCTGAAATCTCCTCCACTGGGAATCGGGACTGGTTTTGAAGATCTATTTCCCATGCTTGTCAGAACTTCAATTAAGTTGTGATCAGAGTAACAGGTATTTGTAATCATTATGTTCCTGATCAATTCATCATTAGTGAAAATGTGGTCCAGCGTGTTCTACTTCCTAGTTGGTTCTACTATTTGTTGATTTAAGGCAAGCCTGTCACACATTCATTGCAGGTCATTTGCATGTGACTGTCCATTTAGGCTACTTCCTGGTATTCTTTGATATAACTGTATTAGCCAGGTG